GCCATCTTCCGAAACGTCACCTGTTTTGTTTATTATTATTGTTGTGTAAAGTTTTTTGCGAGGTGTGGTACTGAAGAAGCTTGACTCCATCTATCACTCGGCCTTAAGATTTACATTGAACTGCCCATATAGGACTCGCCACTGTGATCTTTACATTGGGTCAAACTTAACATCTCTTAATGTTCGACGGCTTGTGCACCAGATCTCATTTATTCACGATGTACTTAGAAAAAAAATCTGCAGACTGCCTGCTGGATCTCGGGTCTTCGCTCATTTACCAGCTTCACATTCCCTATTGCCGTACAAAAACTGGAGGAAGGGCCTTTGCTATTGATGCCTCCAGGGTCTGAAATGCTATTGCCAATTAACTGCAACTTGAATCGCTACCAATGAGATCTTCTGTCAAAACTGCTCCTAGAGGAGTTGTACACCCCTAGCTGCCACTGCTATTCATTGGCGTAAAATAAAATGTTTCGCTCCGGATGACGCTGCATTATTATCTGTATAATTATTATCTGTATTTTGATTTAGCGTGCTGATCTTAAAGGTGCATTGAAAAATTTGATACTCCGACTGATGCTTCTGTTGTGGAGTAACTCATGCAGCCAGCTATGGCTCTAGGATTTGGTGTTACATGTTATTTATGTAGTTTATTGTAAAAAAAAAATGATCACAGTCCCTATGATCACTGCTACATTGCAATTATGGCTTTAATTTTTGGTGATTTCGAAAACGTTTTTTGGTTTGGACATGTTTTGTTGTAGAACGGAGTTAGACTGATGGCCTTAATCTAAGTTTTCCTGTGGTTGTTGTTTGACTTGCATCCCACTGGGATTTTTGCACACAGCGTTGGTGTACGGTGCTTTTCCAGGAATATTTTGCTGTTTTTTTTAATGGCTTTTCTGTTTGCACAGTCAGTCACTTTAAGATGTTTTGTTCTTTTTTTGTTTGTTGTGGTTGCACCCGATTCAAGAGCCGAATGGCTCGCAGGGCTATACCAAATAAATAGACTGAAAACTGAAATAAAATCAAACAACATTAGGTGCGATGGCATCTCGATCCTTCAAGCGAAGCGAGGGCTTTCACTGAAAAGGTTAGTTTTGAAATAGACAAAAGGAGGCGTCTCAAGTCTTTACGGTGGCCAGTGAACGATTAACGGCGCTTGGCTTGGGGAGACTGCCTCCCAAGAACGTCAGGTGGCCGTGTTGTTGGGCTGCCAGGTTGGCCACTAGAGCAGTGTTCTTTACTAATTTTTGGACGGGAGGGGGGGCGCTTTCGCCGATGACGCCTCATCAGCGTGAGGACCACCACACCATTTGAAACCATTGGGGGTTTGACAGCAGCACGATGACGATGATTGGGAGGGGGGGTGTTTCACTGTGTAAGGTCGGGGGGGGGGGGGCGCGCATAAAGGCCCCCTCGGGGCAGCTAGTGGCCCACGGGCCTTGCAATGAAGAACACTGCCCTAGACGGCTTGGAGCAAGAGGCTGTGTGTGTGGGGAAGCGGTAGTACAAGCCTTTAGTGCGCTGCGCTATGAACCCGGTCGACCCGAGTTCGATTTTCGCTCACGGCCAACACCGGTGATGTATTAGCTGAAACGCTTCCTGCCCCTCCCCCCGGCTAGGTCGACTCTGCCTGGTGCGGTATGTAAACATCGCTGCTAAGGAGACAAAGGCGGCCGGGTGTGGTGGTGCTGGTCAAAATGCTCTGTTAAGGACTTTGTCTTGCGGAATCTGTGGGTGTCTTCTATCGGCACTCTGGTCGTAAGACTCCGTAAGAGTTGTCTGGGTAAACAAAGCGTGCTATATAATTGTCATTGTAAAGTACTGTGCCAGCAGTAATGTGATGGGGCACAGTGTGGGTAGTCCCACTTATTCCAAAGCGTCTGACCATCGTGGTGAAGTTGGGCCAAAAACATGCCTCCCAGGAACTCGCTGTAGCGGAGTCTGTGCCGCAAGCAGTGTCACGAGCAGGCAATTGCAGGGCTGCACCATTCCTCCTTTTAAAAAAAAACGGAAGAGTCGAAAACAAACATCTCGCGGGCGGCTTTGCAAAACCAATAAAGTCTGCACCTGGCGCATTATATAGTTGGCAGTGAGACGCAGACTCGCCCTGGCAATGATCAACTCCAGGTATTGCATTCACGGAGCAATTGTGCAAACGCATCGCAAATGTCTGCTCTGCTGCAGGCGACTTCTATAACCCGTGACACATTGTAATTCTGCCAAAAAAAGGCCAGCTACGTTGGAACAAAAACTGCATTTAGCGACTCTTTAACGGGCGTTGGGATGAATTTAATCCAGCAGTGGATTAACAACGGTTCTGTCGTCTGTACATTCGCATCGAATGTTCATACAGCCCGAAACTTTTAATGCTACCCGCCCTCTAGTGGCTTGATAGTGAAAATCTTGTTTAAACTTGGTGTTAACATTTATCTTTTGCAAAGGTGTTTTTATCACCATTTGGAAACGTGTGCGTGCCAGGCGATGGGAGGGATTTTATGAAAGAACAAGGGATGCAAACTCGGAGTTTGGGAATTAAACTCGACGCGGGAGAGTGGAGAACTAATCCGGAATCGGGGAGGTTGTGATGGGTGGGAACGCGTGTCCGTGATTGGATGGATGCCAGGTTATACTGATGTGTGTGTGTACAGGCAAATGGTTACTTGACCATATTGGCACTACCAGACAGAGGAAAGTGAAAGGAAGTAACGAAATGTGCAGTGGGGACACCTACGGCCTATATCTGCTCCATGGATCGTGATGATGATGACGATGATCACGACGACGATGATGATGACAAGTGGCAACCAGAAGTCTGTGACCAAAAAGGGGAAGACCTAGAGTTGGATGTTTGTGATGGGTGGGGGTGGTGAGACGGTACGAGTGGTCCTTGAAGGACTTGACGACTGGAGACCTCAAGCCAAGACGGCGGAGGATTAAGGTCTGGTGTCGACTGTGGAACTGGCCGGATCTCTCGGAAGGAAGACGCGATGGCGAGGTGTGGTGGCATGATTATGATGATGATTATTATTACGCATTGTTTTTTTCGGTAAAGTCACGTATGTAGAAATACAATAAAATTATATTGAAACAAAAAACAATCACGACGTTTCGATCACAACGCAAGCGATCTTCATCAGGTGTCAAGAACAAATCACGGAGGTAAATAAAACAAAAAGATGAGAGACGAGAATTCAACAAACCTGAAAAACATTATGTGAAGCGCATCCAGTCAGGCCAACAACACAGACACTTTTTGGCGGACCACGAATTTCAGAAGTGTTAAATTTGTGTTCAACCTTTGGATTGGACATACCAGCATAGATACAATGAAAAATACGAGGTACACGGTCGGTAGAAATACACATACAAGTCCACCAAGAGGCAAGGAGGGAGGAAAGACGGACAGGGAGGCAGAGAGAGGGGGGGGGGGCGGTAGGGATGAACAGAAGCTTAAATAGGAAATACGGTTGGAGGGGCCATAGCGAGAGCGGCAGCTCAAACACGCACATCTTACACATACAAAACGGCAGCTCAAAAAGGACCACCTCTTGTAAATACAAAACGGCAGCTCAAAAAATGACCACCTCTTGTAAATACAAAACGGCAGCTCAAAAAAGGGCACATCTTACACTTTTTTGAGCTGCCGTTTTGTATTTACAAGAGGTGGTCCTTTGAGCTGCCGTTTTGTATTGTGTAAGATGTGCGTGTTTGAGCTGCCGCTCTCGCTCTGGCCCCTCTCCCCCTCCAACCGTATTTCCTATTTAAGCTTCTGTTCATCCCTACGCCCCCCCCCCCCTCTCTCTGCCTCCCTGTCCGTCTTTCCTCCCTCCTTACCTCTTGGTGGACTTGTATATGTATTTCTACTGACCGTGTACCTAGTATGTTTCATTCTATCTATGCTGGTATGTGCAATCCAAAGGTTGAACACGAAATCTAACACTCTTCTGAAATTCGTGGTCCGCCAGGAAGTGTAACTGTGTTGGCCTGACTGGATGTGCTTCACATAATGTTTTTCCAGGTTTGTTGAATTCTCGTCTCTCATCTTCTTGTTGTATTTACCTCCGTGATTTGTTCTTGACACCTGATGAAGATCGCTTGCGTTGTGATCGAAACGTCGTGATTTTTTTGTTTTAATATAATTTTATTGTATTTCTACATACGTGACTTTACCGGAAAAAAACAATGAGTAATTTTATGCAGTCACGAAAGCTTTAATACTTTATGATTATTATAGCATTCCTTCTTGACACGACAATCGGGCGGTTAGTGCCGATGTGGAAAGAGGAGGAAGGAGAGTTCTTGGCCATAGCTTTTGTATGTGTGGTGACCTGCAGAGGCAATTAAGTGCTCCGTGTTTTTATGGCCTTTCATCGGTCAGCACCACCATGAGCGTTGTCTATCGACTGAGCAAATGCATACAACTTAATTTGGCACGTTTGCAGCTCCTGAGACTTTCAAATAATTCAGTTTTGACTGCCGTGCGTGAAGGACTGTTCTCTGAGCTGGGCGTGTGGAAAGGTGCATCCCTGGTGTGTGTGTGTGTATACAATGTAAATTGAAAGGTTATCCAGAAGTAATTTTGTGATATTACCTTATACGAGCCGTTCTCTCCTTAACAGGGTGCAAAGTACTTCTCACTGCAAGGCTTTCGAATCTTTGTCTCGTGGAATGACGCGGATGCCCCCAATAGGAATACAAACAGGGACAATTGCATAACTCGTGCCAATCACTCTCAAACTCCACGTGGTGGGGGAATTATCTGTCGTGAAAGGCGACTAAGTCAAGGCCGCAAAACCGAAGAAAGACCCCCACGTGGCATTAAAAGAGAACTGCATCTTGGGCAATGCACTGTGAGCCTGGTGACGCATGACCAGCCTGACGAGCACTGATAGCGACTGTGGGATAAATGTTAAAGAGTGCATAACACCCATGCAGAGAATTATCCTTACAGAAATATTACCCGTGCATTGAGAATTTTTCGAATGCATGCAGCGTTTTCTGAAACCTTTTTTTATATCCAACTCACTCTCGTATTCAGGATTCATCTGTAGGTTGTTGTTTTTTTTAAAACATCCACAATAACCCTATGCAGTACATTTGAAAATATTTGTTTTTAAATAACACTTTACAAAAGACCGCCCACAATACCGCGGGTACGAAAATGTCAAAGGCCGTCGCCTCTCTGTGTGTGTGTGTGCGTGCGCCTGTGCTTGACAACTTCGTGGATTGGTGGCGCATGCTGCCTACGAGGGGACGACAAGCCAACATTTGTCCTCGAGACGGCTGCACGTTTTTTCTCTGCACAGCAAAGACCTCGTCGCGGACGCCTTGCTGTTAAAAGTCTCGTCTATAGGCCGAGCAAATAGAACCTTCACAAGATGCATTTGTCGGCGCCATTCGGGTCTCCTTCAGCTGCTGCTGCTGCGACATCGGAGTGTTAAAAAATGTAGACAGGACTCGCCGGGGTTTAATTTGACCTATAAACCAAAGCGCGTGACGGTGTGTGGCGCAAGAGGTGAGCGCACTGCGCTATGAGCCCGGAGGTTCCTGCGTTCCATTCCCAGTCACGGTTTTAACGTCCGTGGCGAGTGATCATTCTTCAACCTGCGCTGAACAGCGTGATGGCATTAAGGTCAAACTCAAACAACCACCATGACCGACATGGCACGGGAAGGCCTGTAACTAACAGGCGATTGAGAAAAAAGGGGCTGCACACTAATTTAACAAAACTATAAAATTCTACAGCACTCTTTCTCACGAAGTCAACCTGGGACATCTCCCCGTGGCGCACCGTCAACGGTTATAAAATAACATTTCAAAACAATAGCAATCCCAGCCAGAGAGCGAGGGCCCTCCCGCGCGATCATAGGGCCACCTTGCCAACCGGCAGGTCTCCCTCCTCCTTGGCCCTCGTCTCTCTCACGCTGGACGACGAGTGGATGATCTGCGTCTTGTGGCGCTTCTTGTTCATCGGCGCCTTGAGCAATTTGGCGAACGACTGCCTTCTCATGAGCTGCATGTCGCGCAGAAAGTTTCCACCACCACCGCCGCCGCCACCACCACCGTCCGCCTCGTCGTCCGACCCCGCTCCCCCACCGTGACCGGCCGGGATCCTGAGGCTGCCCAGGTACGGCCTTGGCAGCTTCCTGCGCGCCGCCTCCGTCGCCGCGGGCCGCTCCGCTCCGTCACCCGCGGGCGCCTCGAGCAGCTCGCGGATCTCCCACGAGGCGTCCTGGCCCAGGTAGTGCCACGGCTTCCTACCGCTGTAGTCGCGCGCGTTCACGTTCGCCTCGTAGGCGCCCACGAGCATCTTGGCGACGTCGGTGTGCCCCGTGCATCGCGGCGAGGTGCAGCGCCGTGTAGCCCCCATGGGAGCGCACGTTCACGTCGTCCGCCGTCCCGGCCGACGACTCTGCGGCCTGCCACAAGGACGGGCACCATGTCGGCCTTGCCGTGCTTGGCCGCCCAGTGGAGCGCCGTGTAGCCCGTGAGAGGGTCACGGCGCAGCGCCAGCGACGGCTCTCCCAGCAGGAGGCCGTGCAGGTTGCTCCAGTCGCCGGCGCGCCGCGCTCACGATCCACTCGTGCTCCACCGGCTCGAGAGCCAGAGGGGCTCCGAAGCTGCTGCCCCCTCCTCCCCGCAGCGTCATCCTCGCTGGTTCGAGCCGAGCCCACGGATTCGGTGTCTGAATCGCCGCCGCCGCCAAAGTTGGGGGCGATGAATGGGCTCTTGGGCGAAGACGACGACGACGAGGAGTTGTTGCCTCTTCGCTTGGGGCGACCCGGGGACGCGCAGACCCTGCGCTAAGTTTCTTCTTGGATGTCGTCTTGAAGGGACCCTCTCCCAACTCCTCCCCCGGCGTCAGCTCCGGCAGCAGCAGCAGCAGCGGAAGCTCTCGCTCCACTCGAGACCTCCTCCTGGCTCGAACTGTCTGGACCGCCTGGCCCCGACTCCCCTCGGCACCCCTCCTCTCCGCTGTCGCCCCTCCCGGCCTCCCCACGTCCTGAGAGCCGCTGCCCTCGGCCTCGGCTGCCTCTGACCTTGACCCTGGGGTCGTCGTCCCCTCGTCCTCCTCCGCGGACGCTGCGGCGTGGCCTTGTGACGACACCGCCTGGCTCGACGCGTCCGCGGGCGCTGCGGCGTGCCACCGCCGCCGCCTTGGCCGCGAGGTCGCCCTCCGCAAAGGGACCCCCCCTCCCTAGTCGCGTCCACCGCCGGAGAGGGCGCAGTGATGCTGATGGCCACCGGAGGAGGAGGCATGGTTGTCGCGGAACTCGCCTCGCCGCCGCCTCCTCCTCCATCTCCTGAGCTCGCGTCTCCTGCCGCACCGCCCACCTCGCTCCTCATCCACACTCGCGCAGCTCGGCAGGGCTATGATGCGCGTCATCTCGCCTGCCTTGCTCGGGGCCACCACCTGCTGCTTGGCCGGGGCCGCGGCCTCTGCCGACTGCTCCGAATGGCTCCCCACGGTCTGGCGGCTGCTCCGAGGGGAGAGGGTCCCATCGGCGCGTTCATCTCCTCCTCCTCGGTCGTCGGCCTCGGCTGTCCGCGGCCCGTCGACCCCCGCTGTCTGCTTGCGCACCACCAGTGCTGCTTGTACTTCTTCTTGAGCACCACGTACTTGGCGCCGTCCTCCTGCTTCACGAGACCCACGGCGTTCACGAAGCCCTTGAAGAGCTCGCGAGCGCTCGGCTCGCCCAGCGCGCCCCTGAACCGGTGCAGGAGCTCGGTGTTGGCCGCGCGGCCTCCCGCTCTCCACGAGGAAGTTGAGCACCCCGTCCTGGCTGAACTCTGGCTCGTCGCCCATCGTTCCGAGGGGACAGCCCATGCGTAAGGTCCGACGGACCGCAACGCGCACGCAAAACGCACCCGTCGCCCCTTGTTTTGTGGCAGCGAGTTGCTGGGTCACGTCGAGAGCCGAGCAAACGGAGCGGGAATGCGGCTGTTTGATTTCTAGTCTTGCGGACGAATGGCCTTTTGTAGGTGCCCTCTCACGCGAGTCTTCTTCGTCTTCTCGTATGGCGGGGTAGAGGCTGATGAGCAACGTGCTTGGCGAGAGAGCCCTTGGGCAAGGGAGCAGCAGCAGCAGCCTTCGTGGTGAAAATCTGCAATGCGTTGCTCGCTGCTCGCCCGACCGTAGCACAGAATCAATCTGCTTCAATCCCTCCTGTTTCGCGTCTTTAGCGCTGCGGTCGAGGCTGCCAGCTTATCTCTCTGCTACGCGCACGGCAAACTTGCTGGGGTTTGTTGGCACGTGCTCACGAGCGGCGAGAGCACGCGGTGTGCGTGTGAGCGAGTCGTGGTACAGCTGACGGCTGGCGAGAGAGGGGGAGGGAGAACGCGAGAGAGGGAGAGAGGCGCGCTGCGACGGGGAGTTGCGTTTTACGCATTAACGTGCGCGCGAGCCCAACTCGAGGGGGGTTGGGTGTCTGGGTGGAGCCCAGTGGGGGAGTGGATGGTGGTGGGGGTAAGGAGTGGGAGTTTGGGTTGCGGTTGTGGTGGGGGTGACTGTTGACTGGGTTGGGGTGCTTTTGCCCTCCTCCCCTATAACCCCACCCTCTATGATATGATCCCTTCCACTATAACCCCACCCCCTTCCCTTATGATCCCCTCCCCTCTACTATGCCCTCCTCCCGCCACTATGATCCGTCCTCGCTCGCCGATTCACCCCCCCCCCATCACTGAGGTTTCCGGAAAAGGAGCGAACCAAGAGCCACGCACGCAGAGGGGTCCGGGCCTTTCGGCAATGATTCACCTCGCTGTCACGCAGCGCTGTGTGTGTGTGGCGTGACCTTGTTTATTTAAAGGGCTGAATGTGGACAACAAAATTTGACATTTTCGCACCGTCCGTGGCCAAGCGATGCCGAGCCTCTCTCTCTGGGCCGTCGTGCATTCTACTCTCGCTCTCTCACTCCCGCGTGGCGTATTTTGTACCAACATTTGTTTTTCTCACTTTATAAGGAATTTAGAATTTTGGGGCTGAGGGCTGTAGGAGTAATGGTAGAAGGGGGAGGGGCTCGCCCCCCCCCCCCCCCCCCCCCCCACGCCGAGGCTGCCGCCGTGACGGTCGATAGCGTTGATCGATGATGGATGACGTTGATCGATGATGGATGAGACGAAGCAAGCTTGGACAGAAATCACGGACCTAGATAATCAGTCGTATGGCCTGGCATCAGGCATGCGCCACCACTGCCCCTTTTTATTTTTCCAGGTAAGGCCCACTGAGCTAATATAGCTTTGTTTTTCTTAGAAGCGACCCGGCCACAAATGCTAGCTCAAGGACGTGGCTTCTCACGTGGAAAATGATAGCAAATACTCTTTAGCGCACGTTTCTAAATGTGGAAGGGGAAACCCCAGAGGGCCCGGGAAAAAAAATCCACGACACCACGGCGAGAACGCGCAAACCCATTGTCAACTCTCACGGTCTTGCGATGCAACAATCCTATTTTTTAGCTCCCCAACCGCAAGTTAAATTCATCGCTCCATCTCCACAGCGGGCGTTCCTCTCCTCCTTTTAGCCGTTTACGGTCTCGTTCGTGTTCACCACCGGCTATCTATCCGCCTTTTGCGCCGCTACGCATGGCATGGTGTAACTGTGTGCATCACGTGGCTTTACGGTACACGCGTTCGGCATTTCGCTATGCTGCTGCTGCTGCTGCATCAATGTTATTCTTTTGAGCTAAAACAGAAGAGGAAGTGTGCGGTTGTTGCCAGACATTGTAAGTTACCCGCCCCAGTCTGTAATTTATTCGCAATGTCACAACAAAAACCTCTACACTGCGTGCTGGGCCAGAGAGCATTGCCTCCCATGGGACACGCAGGTTAGCCAAGCTGACCCTCCTCCTCCACGTCACCACTTCGCATCTCCTTTTACATCCCATGAATATCGGTTTTTCATCTCGCCGCGGGTGGCGAGCAGTTAACTACCTCGCTGGGTATGCAGGGGGTCCGTGGGTTCGATCCGAATCCCCGACGCCTGCATGTTTTTGAGTTTGCCCTGGCACTCCCTCTCTCTCCGTGCTCGTGTGGATTTTTCTCCAGGGTCGGTTTTTCCCTCCCACATTTAGAATCAACAAGCGTTGAGAGTTATTTGGCTGCTATACGTTTCCACGTGATGAGCCACTCTTTGAGCAATCCTTTGTGGCCACGTCGCTCCTGAAAATGAGCGTTATAGTTCGGTGAGCCTTACCTGGTAAAATAAACATAGTATAGATACTTGCTTAAACTTTAATTTCATCAGGAGATGGAAAAACATGACACCTAAGTGTGCTGGGATCCATAACCAAAGTTGGGTTTAAACCCATATATGTAAACACAGCATTAATAACTCAAACTTAATAATAACAAAACAAGTTACAAACTAACGTGAAATTTCAGTTATAGAAACTGGATTCTTTATTTAGGCAATCTGAATGTGATTGCTTATTTAAAATTTTATTCACTTTTTCGGACGTCTCATCACGGGTAAGAAGTTGAACCCTCGGTGTCAGAGAAGGGCCACATAAGTGAGTGCCACGGAGCAATCTTTGAGAGATCCCTTCAGGTGACGTCTGATCCACGCCAATCCACTGGTGAAAGAAGCCCCCCCCCCCCTACTAATTTCAGTCATGGGGGAGTTATTTAATCACTTCACCCACACTGTGTGGTTTAGTGAAGGTGTTATTCACCATGGTCGGGAAATTATGTGTACGTCTCCGGGTTCTTATTGCAGATCACTTTCCACTGCGTCGCCCACAGTGTGTACATGGGTCCCTATTTATTGATTTGCTATGAACAATAGTTTGGCACGTTCTGAACCTTTTCAATCGGGACACGTGCAGGAGTTCCCACGAGACGCCTTTGTGCAAACGAACGCCTCCTGTACAGAAGCCTTCTCTGTCCACAGGTGAGTGGATGATGCAAGTTCTTAGGGTGTTCTCGGGAGGCTAGAATGCTCAAATATTGGAATAAACGTGTGTATGTATGAACGTCTTTCGCGCAATACGTAGCCAACCCCGCTACTCGGATGTGTGGGGAGGGGGGGGGAAGTCAAACGTAAACAAAACCTATTCGAGTCTATTCTTATAACTTATACCATCTGAAACAAAAATATTTGTGTTTTCCAAATAATGATGGCCTGTCTGTATTTAAGCGCTATTGTTCATGCTGTTTTCAGGAAATTGTTTGTAATTCGTGTGACAAAAAATACATCGTTTTTTCCTCTTGTTTGCACATTCCCCACCCTGCCGTGTGCTGTAACTACCGCCACTGAAAACGGTCTCGGCTCTGGTCGGTCCTTGCGACGGAGCTGGGTCTCCCCAGCTGAAATAAAGTCCGAGCGTCATAGATTTCACTCCATTGGGTAGAGTCTGTGCCGCGGTGGCGAGATGTTAACTACCTCGCCTGATATGCAGGAGAAAGTGGATTTTATCCAGACTCTGATGTTTGTATGCCTCGCTCCCCGTGGTCGCGTGGATTATTCTCCGGGTCCTGCGGTTTTTCCCTCCACATTTAAAATCAACGTGCGTTTAGAGAATTTTGGCTGCTATCATTTCCACGTGACAAGCCACTTTGTTGTGACATCATTTGTGGCCAGGTCGCGTCTGAAAAAGAGCTATATAACTCTGAGCTTTACCTGGTAAAATAAAAATAGTTTTATAGTTCAAAAAAGCATATGTTTATACTTCTACATTTTCTGTAAGTCCCGTGCTATAACATATACATTATGGTCATCATCAGTGAACCAAGGAATTGGCCTGCCATGGAGTGTAGTGATCAAATCAGTGGAGTCGCCGATTTTTTTTCCTATAAGTATAGATGAGGCATCCTTCCATGACCCTGATATGCTTTCATTTCTGTGTAAACATTTAGTTGCTAGTTCCCTTCTCGTGTTGGGTCAACACCTAAATCCTGCTTCTTTGATGTCCACAGTTCCAGCTGCCCCTTAACGTTGTTGCCAAGGTGAGTGTTTTCCTCTCCAGGTGCAATATTTGAGACCTCGTCACCAAAAAATATACCGTAATTTGTTTCCGGAGGTATTTTTTTAATCGAGATGTGCGTATAATTCCACCACTTTTTTCATGATGATTCTGTTTCTATCGTGCGCTATAGTTCAACCTTGCTCTCAAAGGTGATTTCACCGATCGTCAGCTTTCTTTTTTTTACCACGTTCACACTCCTGTTACACGTTCTCTGATTTCCTTCGTCGTTTCTTTTCCCAATCGTTTTTACGGAATCTGCGTGGAAAGATGTTGACATTTTTCATCTAATGGTCATCTATCCTAACCTGCGCGTAATGTTCTTTCAGAACACGTGTCCTCGGTTTGTCCAAACTTGCCCCCACTATCAGTGCAGTGTACATTGTCAGTGTTGGCTAGCTCAGTACTCAAGTGGTGTCACCCATTTAATCCTTTTGATCCTCCCAATGCATTTGCATTTGTTTTATAAGCGGTCTGCTCAATGCCCACACTAAGGGGCGTTGCTGGGGTCGGCCCTGCACCAAATGTCCCCTTTTTTTTTTTTGCACCAACCCAAGTTCACTCCTTGGCGGTGAATCGCTGTTATGGTGGCCACCTCCGCTCGACTCCCCCCCCCCCCACCACCATCCGAGAGGAGCTACAGCTGGGTCTGAGTCTGCTCGAAGCTACTTTTTTATCATCGCCCACTCCACTATCCGAGAGAACTCTACAACAATAAACAACCGCTGAAAGCCTACACAGTCGGTGGCGGCTCAAAGTCTGCTCGCGGTTTGTATATCGATGCAGGGCGGGCTGGTGAATTTTCAGGTTTTGTTCTCGCAATTCTGCTCCATCCTCCAACCCCCGTGTTGGGCTCATTAGCATCTCTTTGGGCTCTGAATGATTCGGGGGGAGGGTGCTGGCGGGTGGGGGACTTCCTGCCCCCCAGCTGCGTTTTAAGGCGAGACCGCTGCCTTTGTTTTAAAGGTCTTACAGGGGCGCTACTCCCCTCCCCTTGCCCTGCAGCGTTTAATTAGCCAACCCCCTTTTTTATTTTAACGTTTTAACCCGAATTAAGTTGATGACACCATGTGTGGAATCGGATGAATGTAAATGATGGGGGTGGAATACCCCCCCCCCCCCCATAATTACAGGAAAAGCAATAGTGCAGACCCGAAAAAAATCACACGCGTTTCAAACGAATGCTACGTGTACACGTGCACGTTTCCATGTGGCGTTTTAGTCACGTGTGTTAGTCCGTAGGGTTTAATGTCGTCATTCCAATTAAAAAAAACACATGCCGAAATAAATGAACGGTGTCCAGTGATAGGTTATCGTCGCTCAGACTGAGACTAAGAAGACCCGACTGAGACTTACACGAGGATTGGACGACATTCTCCTCCAGAGCCAGTCGGGGGAGATTCCAAGCATCCACATTCCTACTGCGAAGTGCGCTCACTGTCCCAAAGATGCCC